GCTGTGCAGTAACATTTTGAAAAAAAAACTTTCACCAGCCAAGTGCCATTATCTATAAAAACGGCAAAAATCATGTATGTTTTGTGGGAGCCCCGTTTACACTCTGGTTTTTAGTATTTTGTAGTTATAGCGGCAACATAAATTTATAATCTGTGAAAATTTCAACTGTCTAACTATCAAGGTTCATGAGATCAGAGGTACAACCTGGTGACAGATGGACAGACGGCTAGACAGCCAGCGGAATATTATCAATACGGTCCCGGTTTTCCCTTTGAGTATGGAACCCTAAAAATCAATACAAACAACATATTAAGGCAACAAAAAAATAAAAATCTGTAAAATAGTTTCATTTAACTAAAACCTAACTTGACCAGCTTAAAAAAGGTTAAAAATTGATTGGTATATAACGGAATTGACTACCGATGTTTTACCTGGATACCGTTTATTTACTAATTGTGTTTTCTCACCACTTGTTGATGGCAAATATAATTATTTTCATAATTCCACTGCGCGAAAATTTAATTATCGCCCGTTATTTTCTCTGAGGCGTTTCTTTTTGAGCTTCAATTAATAGCTACAGTAAAGCTTTGTGACGTCAAAGCGTGGGGCATACAGTGTTTAGTAATAAAATAAGGTTTGAATGTCAGTTAACGTAACTCTATAACTGTGTAAACATACTTATTTATTGCATCTAGCACGTAATATTTCCCCCTTGATAGCATCCGGGTGCGTACCAAGCTTTCCGAGACTCCGTGGCGCAGTTGGCTCCGGCGTCGGGGGTCGTGGGTTCGATTCCCACACGAGACAACTATTTGTATGACCCACAGATGATCGCTTCGCATATGGATGGTTGTCCATGAGAAATATATGTTTGTTAAAAGACCTTACAACACAGGATATATACTTAATATTGTTATCCTAAAGCAAGGGCAATATTAAAAAAAAATTAAGTATTATACTTTTGCTTTTTGTCGAACGCGTGAGGTAACTGGGGTCACCAATTGCAACCCACCAGACTATGCAGATATCCAAGAGCGGCGGTAATCATATAACATCAACTGAACCGCCTGCTCGCTTGCCTCTTTTGAAATAAATAAATCTTTAATCACTAAGATTATTTGCTTAAAGATTATTCACAAACTGCTTACTATTAAGAATGCGATTATTTTTTTAGTCTACATTTTTGCCTCATTGTAGTAATAGGATTCAAGTCAATAATTACTTTTACATGGAATGTGGCATGTGTGGTGAATCGTTGCCCTAATTTGAGTGAGTTTTCTCTATCTATAGTGACATTTCGCGCTTTGAAAGCCGTCGCGTTGCGTGTGTGCTCGGCCTAATTTGGTGTCACCCAAAATACCAGCGGCCCGGGAGACTTTGTTCTCAATGCGCTATTAATTAACGGACACTGTCGATGTCACTACATAGTATTAAACAAAGTCGTCCCGCTGTCTGTCTGTCCATATGTATGGTTAGATCTTTAAAACTACGCAACGGATCTTGATGCGGTTTTTTTTAATTAGATAGAGTGATTCAAGACGAAGGTTTATCACTACATAGTATAAAACAAAGTCGTCCCACTATCTGTCTGTCCCTATGTATGGTTATATCTTTAAAACTTCGCAACGGATCTTGATGCGGTTTTTATTAGGTAGAGTGATTTCAGAGGAAGGTTTATATGTATAATACATTGCACCGGTGCGAAGTCGGGCGGGCGAAGTTGTTAATAAAAGACGGTTATCACCGAAAAGATTGGACGTTGCATTACATCCATTTCCACGATACAACGCTTTCGAGAGTCTCACTGTTCAGTCTTTCCAAATCCAAATCATTTATTCATCGAAATAAGAAATATACATTTCATCTATCGATAGTCAGGTCCTCTAACGGAGAAGAAACAGGCGAAAGAAAGTCCGTAGGTATCCTCTTTTTTGTCATTTTTTTTTACTCAACAAATACATAGTTATACAGTGTATATATTTTTTTAGAAACAGCTTTGGAGCTATCATCTCATTCCCAGGGGTTATTATCATTAATGTATTCATTTATATTATAATAACCCTTTTTTTTTCTTTAACGGACACCCCGTCACAAGAATTTGGACTTTGACTTTGACTTTGACTTTACGCCACGCGTGTCTTCAGAAGGATAGATTGACCACTGCCCCAATGCGGGTGCATAACTAATCGCTTCAACGACACCCTAAACTCTGCAATATGACGTTTGGCCCATCATATACGTGCGATTTGTGCATGTAAATTGGATCGATTAATTTCCGAAGCGGCACTACAATTAAGGACAAGGTTGTAATCCGGACTCAGGGCGCCTTTATAGACTTCTTTTCTGTCCGAAATAGAAATAACTATCCAGTATTTTATAATGCTTACCAGCCGAATACTTGTAGTAAATGAAACTTATTGTTACGGACTTATCGCGTTTATTATATTATTTTAATTCCCGACGCTTCGAGACCTTTACAGCGTTCATGGTCATGGGACAGACTGAGGCGTTTTAATGTGTAATCGCGTATATATACGAAATTATCACGAAGTCTTGTCAATTTAACTACCTGTGCTTTTGGTAGTCGGCTAACTTAGAAACTCTTATGCTTATAGTTTTTTAAGCATTTTTAAGCAACTGTTTGAAGTGCAGATATAATTACGTAAAACTGGTGTAACGTTGTATAGGCCCCGTTCTATATTTGATTGTACTAGTTCTACTTCAATTTGCATCACGTAGCTCCGATGAAATTATGATATACATTATACTTAATACAGAAATGTATAACAAATTCCAATGCATTTATTCGCTTCAGAATTCAAGAAATCAATTTTCTAATGACCGAACTTATAAAGGATGTCTGTGGCTAGTGCAATAATCTTTATTTACTTAATACCATAAACGAAATGTTAAGAGAAGTAACATATATTTAATAAGACCAGGGATATCCAACACTTTATCTCTAATGGGCCGCGTTGTAAAAATAAAATTTTGTTTTTACCACATATATAAAAACATATCTAATAATCAGCAACGTAGAATAGTAGGGATATATAAAATAAAAATATATACATACTATTACTTTTAGTGCTCATGCGACCCGTGGTTTATTCCAACCTGACGCAGACCGCTCCACTGAACTCTACAGCTTTTAGTATGCGCGTAATTTTATTAATTAACTCCCTTTAGCAATTTTCCTAGCGGACAAGAAGGAAGCGGCTGTAAGCGCACAGTTTTACTATAGTACGATCATAGAGGTCTTTTACAACGTCATTGCGTAGTATAACCGTAGTTAAGCAAAGTTAGCACGTTACATTGTTTCAAATGGAATTACATCACACACATATGTATTCACACACACACATTAAAGATATCTCTGACACTGTCACTGGTACACCATAAGGTTCTTTAATTTAAACCATCTCGTGCTTTTTGCACGTATCATCACAAAGACAAAAATTTTAAATCAGAAAGTCCGTTTATTTATTAGAATTAAGATTTTTGATTTATTTCAAAACATATTGCCCCACCGAAATATTTTTTTTTATTTAAAAGGGATGACAACTGAGCATTTCAACTTCTACAGGGCCCTAATATCAATATAACATATATTTATAATATATTTAAACTTTATCTGGTGTCAGCACTAAATTTGAATCTAGTGTTTTATCAATAATATGGCCAATATCCCGACAAACTGTTTTAGTTGTGTACTTAACTATGATAATTGCTTTTTAAATTTGAAGGTACTCGTACATACATAGGTTTTGTTTAATTTTTGTGCCATTAATCGAGATACATGGCTGGTAGCGAGATTATGGAATAAACTTGATGCGTACGAAGTGCGAGACATTTCATATTAACTTTGCGAAAAGGAACATTTAAATGAAACTTAATTTAATGTTTGAGCTGTAGAAGAGGGCTACGTTTTGAGCAAGCTCGCATTGTTTCAATTTAATATTAGTTTCTTTCGAACAAGTTTATAATTAAGTAACGTTAAGGCGATGAGATTACTTATAAAACCGAGGATTGTAGTAATACTTTGTCTGTTTATTTATACATAAATTCTATTGCTTAAAAAACAAATTTTATATTTCATTATTTTATTATCGTTATTATTATTTTATATAATTTATTGTACAAAAAGTTTTATACAGTTGACATAAAATAAATCTTAAAAGCTAGGTACAATAACCGCCTTATTGTATCTTATCGCTAAAGAGCGATCTCTTCCAAACAACCTTAGGACAAGGAAAATAAATTTATGAGTAGTTGGAGGTGGTGTGCTTAATAAATTTACTTAATAATAACAATATCAAACAATATCGTTCTGACTTTGACACAGGTTATTGTCATATTAATAAGACAGAGCAGTATATAAACCACGCAGTTGGATGGGTGCTGATGAAAATGGGATTTGATTATAAATGTGGTATTCAAACAGGACAATATGACGACCCGAATGGTGTAGTGGGTAGTGTACCTGCCTATTGCGGCAGAAGATGTGGGTTCTATCCCCACTACTGGAAAAATATTGTGTGGTGAACATAGTTTAACGGTGGTAGGGCTACGCAGCAGCCTCGGTTGTTGCACGAATGGGCAGGCTCGTCTGGGTAAATACCACGACCTCACAGGAGACCGGCGTCGAGTGGAAGTATAATACTTTCGTGTTTCGTCTGGTGAGTGAGGTGGCTGGAGCCAAATTTTCAAAAGGTTGTCAACGAATCTGGAACCCTCAGTTGTAACATCAGGGGAACCGTCTGCTCGCTTGGCATCTTTTCACATAAAAAAAGTGTTTTTCTAGTGTCTGGGTGTTTAAATATTATGTATAACATGTATTTATTTACAAAAGAAAAGTATGTTTAAGTATGTTCATAAGTTATCTAGTACCTATAGTACAAGCGTTGCTTAGTTTGGGACTAGAGAACGTTGTGAAAAAAATGTGTCCTAAGATATTTATTTATTAAAATAAGTTAATGATTAAATAAGGTGATACTCACACAGCACGCTGAGCTGTACAGTGCTCCGCATAGGTACGTCCCGCTGCAACGCCTCGTGCCTGGCCTCGCATGTGAAATCCGCGTAGTCGTCGTCAGCCGTCGCCTTGAAATGGACCCTGTTGAGTTAGAAATTAGGTTGAGAGCCGCATCGGGTGTGCACTTGACACGAGCGGGTTCTAGATTTGCTGCATCAGCTTTGTGGAGTGGCGTACGAGGCTGTTTCGATGCCATCGGCAGGCCGCCTTGGAACCTTCAATGTTATGCAATCGCTTACGAACAAGACTATCATACCGGTATTTTATATTGTAAGCTGATATCTTTGAAAAAGAGCAACTGTTGAGTTTCTTGCCGGCCTCTTCTCAACAGAAACTGCTTTCCGAACTGAACCTTGAAATTTGACTATTCGTAAGAACGCGCAAGCCTCTATTTGAATAAACATTTTTGATTGATTGATTGATTGATTGATTGATTGATTACGATTATTGCCAACATGGGTCTACCCATGGGCAGACCCATCACAGACACGCCAAAATTTCCAAGTCGAGATTCACCGAATTTCGACACCGCTTACTTGAACGACCGGTTAACGGATAGCCATGTTTTTTTTTTTAACGAAAAAGCTTTAGATACGATTTAGAACCTTAAAAACTTCGGAAATTGTTTACAGCCCTACGATGGTAGGCTACAGGAGCGGTTTGAGAACATGCTTAGATGGGGAAAAAATATTTTTATTCATATTTAACTAGACTAGCGGACTCGACTAGCGAAAGTTATAAATAAAAATTAACGAAAAACAATATTAGTGGACCGAATTGTGTATCGAAACCATTCTAGAATCCTAAGTTGATTCGAGAAACCAAATCGTACCGGCCGTTTAGAAGGATTTCAGTCACATATACACGGACAAAAGAATTATATATATAAAGATTAGCGCTTTGCAGTTGCCGGTTCGAAACCCACGAATGTGTAACAACGAGATATAAATCTTTCAAATTCACGCTACGAATATATATTAATTGTGTGTCGTATATTGCTCCCGTTTCGCGTTTTGATACACAGCGGAAGCAACTTTGATTCGTTGGAGGTAGCCGGAAACAGAAAGTAGTCATCACTTTTTCCATGCTATTTTATGCCAAATTGAACACTGCGAAGCAATGCGGCTTCCATTTGACTTTCACCTTCATTGTTTGCGCCCGTAGAGCGGGGATGAAATATTAATTGCCTTATTTTCCCTTTAATGGCCCTACAAGCCGTATTTAATTCCAAACACAAGCCGGTCCCAGACCCCCCCCCCCCCCTTTGTCAAGGCGGACTTAATCCAACTTAATCTTTAATAATATCCCATTTATTCCGCTGCCTGCAGTTGGGCCGGGACCGTAACGGCAAGGGGGTTTGGTAATCAAATATTATGTGTGTAATTTTCTCCTGCTCCCCGGATTCTTTTCCCGGCTCGTAATCACGAGGCTTGTTATTACGAGATTACAGACGTACGCGCTAGACTTTTACAAGTCGGCGAAATAAAGAAATTTGGCACGGGAGGTATCAGTTGAGAGTTTAAATTGCCTAAGCGAGAAGATTTCATTTCGACAGCAAACAGGAATACGTGTATGTTGAGGGTATTATGAAATAAAGTAGTTGTATCCTACAAGGTGTATCAATAACACAACATGGTGACAGCGGTGGGTGATAGGGTATGAATAATGAAGGGTTACAAAAATTGACTCTTAAGTGTGATAGGGTACGATTAATGGTTTAAAAAATTGACTTTAGCTTTCATTTAGTCACCATTCAGCTTTAGAAGGGCCATGCAAGTCTTCGCTGTTCCAAAAATGGCCAGGGCCAACCGGTGAAATGCCGCGACCTCACAGAAGACCGGCGTAAAGTTTTATTCATACAACTTTTCATCCCCCTTTTCAACCCTTTGCAACACTTTTTTCCTATTAAAAATAGCCCATGCCCTTTCTCAGGCTCTAGACTAGTTGTGAACCAAATTTCATTGAAATCGATTTAGTAGTTTTGGCGTGACAGCGAGTCAGACAGACAGACAGGGTTACTTTCGCATTTATAATATTAGTATGGATTCTTGTATAGAGTCAGTCGAGTACTATCGATTAATAGACATTGTGTGATTGTCGATTCTTTTATCTCTTCTTTCTCTATCTAACTATATTATTATTATTTGAAGGAAGATTTGGGACTTTGAGTGAATATCGCAGCACTAACTGTACAAACCTATCTATTTTGGCTCAAAAGATAGCACAGTGGCCTTTCTTAATCCGTCAATCAATATTATCAAATATTCTACTTTTAATACAGTAAATGTATGCCCGACGATTGTTTTATTTTAAGACACCGCCTAGTGTTCGAATGTCATCCCATCTGGGTTAACTGTCGCGTTTACTGGTGCCAGCGCCGGTATTTGAACTAAGATTTTTTTTATGGGGATAGGGGCAAACGAGCATGCGGGTCACCTGATGGTAAGTGATCACCGCCGCCTATGGACATTTGCAACATCGGTTGAGTCGCAATTGCGTTGCCGGCCTTTAAGGTAGGAATTGGCTCTCCTCTTTAAGGTCCCTAAGTCGTATCGGTCCGGAAATACCGCTGGTGACAACTCGTACCACAAAGTAGTTGTGCGGGTAGAAAGTAATAAGATTGCTCGAGAAATTGAACTAATTGACCACTGAGTTATCACGGCTCTTAAAAGCATTTAAAAATATTTGCTATACAAATATATGAAAAGAGAGTGGTGACATTTTAAAATGGATTTTATCCTAACTATCAACAAGGGCGAAATTATTAAAAATTAAACGCAGCACCGCCATCAATTAATTTCGTACGTTAAGCCGAAATTAATTTAAAAGCCCCTTCACACGTGAAGAGCGATACGAAAAGTTCGTAACACTTCCATAGTCGATGATATTTTAAAAATGACACTTGTGTTAAATATGATATAACAGAGATAGGTTTTATTGAATTCATACTTCTTTTGGCGCGTTTGGGAGAAAATATCATAGTTAATTTTTACACGATGCGCGCGCACACTGACAGCAAAAAAGCGACATGTTAAAGTTGGTTGCAAGGCCACCTTCGACCGACTTCACGGTTACAACATGACAACCAAAAACAGCTTCTTGCCATTTACCAGTTTTTATTTACCATTTTACAAGTTATCTAATAAAACCGTTATCAATTGCATTTAATATCTTTTCGACAAACAAAGAGGGCACAGGGGATAAAATTTTTAGGTACTTTTATTTTTTATGCTAAGATTCTTTGTGTATATATGTACATATTAACATACCTTTTTTATCAAAAAAAAAGTACCTATCAGAATAAGAATAAGAATAATCTTTTAACAGATAAAAAGTTTTTTTTACAAAAATTTCAAGTACATTTGTGGTCAGGAATGTACTTAATACTAAATAATCTACGAACTGAACAGTTCTGACCTCCTAAGTAGGTCATGAAATGACCTGTGTTTAGGAGACCTATGTTAGCCAATGACATTATTAAAACTATTAAAACTTAGCTATGGCAGGACCACGCAAGTACCACGACCTCACAGAAGACCGACGTAAAGTAGAAGTGTTGTACGTCTACGTTTCGTCTGGCGAGTGAGGTAGCCGAGGCCCACATTATTAAAATTTGGCAACACATCTGCAACCGGTGTTGCAAATGTCCGTGGGCGGCGGTTATCACTTAACATCAGGTGAACCGTCAGCTCGTTTTCCACTTTTTCACATTAAAAAAACTTAATTCTAGATTAAATATGGTCATAACTTAACTTATTAGGTTTTCACGTAATGTTTTCACAATGCCACCATTATGTGTTATTGTGGCTTTAAGTAAGTTGGGGGGAAATCTTCTGTGTTCTCTAATTGATATAATTTGAAAATTGCATTCATTTCTATTCTCCCCAAACTCGCTTGGTTTCAGTCTCTAAGAGGTAAATTGAGTTACGCGAAAGATTCCTTCGCAATGTGAAACGGATAATCCATATTTTTATTAACGGAAAACAAAACCGTCTTTATATATCTCGCTCTGTATTCATTTAATAATTGATTTTCAGGAGTTTCCTAAGTATCTCCGGAGCCCAAGATCAAATACCGATAAAATTAAAATGGGACCACATGGGAAGCACCAGCTTTCAAATAAACATGTAGAATATAATTTAAAAAACTAAAAAAATACGCGCGTTTGTGTGTAATTTTTTTTATATACCCAGTGTCACTCTCACAGTAAATACGAATTACGACATCACTCAAGTCTGCAGTGCGTGCAAAACAATTATACATACATATATGTATATATTCATAGATAAATACATAAATTCATAGATACATACATACTCGAAAAACATAACCCTCCTTCTGATGCAGTCGGGTAAAAATAATCATCAAAATCGTTACACTCAGTCGAAAGTTCTGAGGTTACGGTGGTAGGGCCACGCAGCTGGCTGTTGCACGAATGGGCAGGCCCGTCCGGGTAAGTACCACGACCTCACAGAAGACCGGCGTAAAGTGGAAGTATGACAAATACTTTCGCGTTTCGTCTGGTGAGTGAGGTAGCCGGAGCCCAATTTTCAAAAGGTTGTCAACGCATCTGTAACCCTCGAGTGTAGCAGATGACCATGGGCGGCGGTATTCACTTAACATCAGGTGAACCGTCTGCTCGTTTGACAACTTTTCGCATAAAAAAAAATAAAAAAAAAAAAAAAAACAAACACAGACCTCCACCTTTTTCGTATTCGGTTGAAAAATGTCTATAGAACATCAAAAAGTAGACTCGCAAGAAACGCGAGCAACGCATAAAATCCAGGGTAGTAAGATTCTCGGATGTGTACGTCAAATCGGAATACAGAACGGGTGGATTTGCATTACTTACGCGCTTGGTCGAGTGAGAAAGAAAAAAAAAACAAATAGGTACTTCATTTTCACATCCGATACAGAGACACAGTTCGCTGTCGGATTCCTCTCGAATGGTTTCTGCAACGCAATTTTTTTTTTTTTTTTTATTGAGAAAAGGGGCAAACGAGCAGGAGTCTCACCTGATGGTAAGTGATTACCGCCACCCGTGAACACCTGCAACACCCGAGGGCTCACAAATGCGTTGC